ATAAGAGAATATATATATATATATATATATATATATATATATATATATATAAAGTCAGAGTTCTTTGTTTCAGGTATGACCATATGACCACAGTCAAGGTGAACTGCTTTACTCTATATCTGGGGGTGAGGAGTTTGTTAAGAACCAACCTGACTCTACACAAGTTAAAGTTTATGAAAATGACTATATTAAAAAATTATTTGAGAGTGGCTAAAAACTCCAGCAAATTAAGCAAAAGCTGTGCTATGTGAACTACAAAGCACTTGAAAGCTATAGACACCTTTCTATAGGCTCTATCATTTGAGCAATCTCATAAGGATTCTTGTGTATTTATAAAAAATTTTAAGTACAACAAAACGGTGCTTTGTTGAAGTAGTTCATATCTACTTAAAACTGGATTTCTAAAACTGTTGAGGTGTGACTGATTTTGCCAAATAGAACTGTAGCCGAAATACAGATTTAAAAAACAGGAAAGAGATAATGACTATGTGCAGTGTTAACATACGAAATGGTAAGGTGAGGTTGGATTGCTGTGCAAACAGTCTCTCAGTGATTAGATAAAACCCAGAAGAACAAAATACAAAGCAAGCATGCAAAAGATCTGGAATGCTGCAGATTCACAGACAGCTGGACATGTAAGTACAAAAACCCCAATCTGTAAATACAAATGGATTCCATCAGGTTTACTATACAGTACTTTAGTAGTAACAGACAGTTGAAAACAGCTTTCACTTAACAGCAAAATTAATTTTAGAGGGAAGAAAATGGTGAAGTCTCATCCTGGAGAACAGCAAGAGAGGTATTATATTAAGGAGCTAAAATTTTCTTTGGCATGGTAAAAGGGGAGAACTGAGTTTGCCAACCTATTTACATGAAGTTTTCACCATCCTGTGGCGAGTGCAACGATGTTTTGCACAGTCTACTTCTTACATAAACTTTTTTGTTGTTTTCTGGTATGCCTTCTTATAAATGTTTTATTCATCATGTTGAATCTGTGTATACAACAAATAATAATAAACACAAACTGTACAATGCAAACAAACTCTTTGCATATATGCATGTAAATTTAGTAATACAGACCAACAGTTCTTTGATAGACACCACCTACTACATGCAGTTCATCCTTTCTATCCTCTTCCCATGCAACAGATGAGACAAGCAACAAAATTAAAGGGATGAAACAAAGCACAAAGACCCCTTTGCTATCTTTAAACAGATTGTAGAAAAAAAATATTTTTTAGGACATATATTCATTGGATTAAACACATATATGTATTTAGCCCATAGAAACAAAACCAGAAAAAAAAAAGAAAAAATGCTGTATTTCCAGTATGCGCTAACTGCTTACAAAAATTAAATCTGGCCTTAATTATAGACTCCCAAACTGGTTTGCAGATCATAATTTCTCAGGATCAAGAGTTTAATGTTGAAAACAATACATATGTACCATCAGGCCAGAACCTCCTTGCATGGTTCAGTCAGGTCTCTGGCCCTGTCTCTCCCCAGGCTCTTACATTGGGAGAGTAAAAAGATGGCTGGATGGGACATGAACACATGTATTCACTCCTCATGAACTGTAATGAAAAGTATGTAGCCTTCAGCTGTATTATCTCACTCAAAATATTGTGAAGTGCTCCTCTTACAATTGTAGGAAAGCCTGGGGCCGCCTCTGGACCTGGCAGATAGTACGTCAAGGCTGCTGCCTCCCATGGGTCCCCCAGATGCATTGTAAGCCCCCAGCTCACCATGTGAGCTGCTTTGGTTTGGTTTTGTTTTCTCAGGGATGGTGCACAAATCCCACTGGACCACATGGGATGAGAAGGTGCACCAAAGTTTTTAATAAAGTGTTGTTTTTTCCCCCACACACACATATTTAGTGCTAGCAGGTAAGGGCACAGTCTAAGTCAAAGTTTCTTTGCATTTTTATCACAGTATTAGAGTAGGTTTGTATTTTTTTTCTCTACATGGATAGTGGGCTTCATGCTTAACTCATTCCCTCCCTAGAAAGACCCATCATCAAGTGTTAGCTTGCTGTTCTCATGCTACAGACATAAACAAGAAAGTCTGGCCTATGAAAAAAAAAAAGTTTACCTAGAATTTAGCAGCTTTGCAGTAGTCTCCTTGAAGTGTGCACAAAATTTGCTTATAAAAACAGAATACATTTGAAAACTAGCATGAAGAGTTCATTCAGACTGAATCAGTTGTTCAGCTGAGCAGACAGGGAGTTTGAAATAACCATCAGTCTCTGTTAGGGGACTTACAGCACAAAGATGTGATAAAACAAATTGCCAGAAATACAATGCTAAAAAAGGAACGGATGATTTCCTTTTTTTGTCTTTAAATATCAAGGTACAAGAGGCCAAGAGAGCATTGCCACACAGTTTTCCAGACTGAGGTACAGTTTGGTCCTTGTTGCCCCTTTTTGAGAAACAAATACCTCCTTAAGCGTACAGAGAATACCCATATTTTTAGTCTTCTGAAGGCCTGTGATTAAGTGTGCAACACTTCAGTGGCATCTCTGTGCCATTCTCTAAATCTTCCTCCTCGCCCCCAACATTGGTTTAATCGTTCACAAGTGACAAACTCAAAGGATTGATGTTGTTTCTGGTAATAAGGTCCAAGGCTTCAATTTTAAAACGTTTTTGATTTGTTCTAGGTTCACGTAGGAGAAAGTACAGTATACAGAGATCAAGGCAAGGCACCTTCAATCTAGCAATTTGTTGGGCATATTATCCTAGGAGGCTGGGTGGAGGTACGTACTGGGATATCAGTGATACATAGGACTGGACTTTGCATGCTTAGCGAAAAATAAAAATAAAAGTTTTGTAATATGTCCAGTTTTAAAACTTTTTTTTTTTTTTTAAAACACCAGAAATATTAAACTATAATTTGTAACTACCCTTTGCATTGGTGCTGCAAAAAAGAACACAACGACATCCTTGCCCATGCTTTGCTAAGTAGGTGTGGGATTCAGCCAAAAATAACAATGGCATTAAGTTCAGTTCCTTAAAAACAGGGAAGGATTATATTCAAAATGGATTTAGGTAGCGCAATTCTGGTTAGTCTTATTTAACTTTTTTTTTTTTTTTTAATTATTATTATTATTATTGGTGGTGCTTGTTTTTCAAACAATGACGATTTAGTAGATGAAAAATGAGCCTTAATTCAGGCCTACAAGGCCTACAAAATTCTTTGGACCCACTTTCCCAAAAATGAGTGGGTCTTGCTCGCTGGGCAAGGCAAATGTTACCATTACCAGTAAGCCTGTGATATGTATAAAACACACACACAAAAAGAAACTATAGGGGGATGCCAAACACTCGTTTCAGAAAACTTCCTGTTGGCTGTGTTTGACACTCCTTCCTCCACTATAATGCCAACCTCAGAAGCACAGTATCTGTTACTAGAGAGTATTCACATTTAATCAATATTGTAAGCCAGAGACAACAACCCTATTCTTTATAGATATAATTTGTATTAATAGATTTTTGAAGGCTTCCTGATTCCCTGATTGCTTTCAGAACTAAGCCACCGGCAACACTTAAGTTATAGAGAAACACAATCCCTGCAAAAGGTCACAGACAGTGGAGCGAGCAGCCTTATAAAAAAGGGAAGAAGAGAAATCCATAATAGCACAGGTTTACAGCATCTAACTAGAAATTACTTGATTATTTGTGTGCTACAAAATAGAACTTAAACACATGGATTTTGCTGAAACTGGACTCAAAAAGGGATTATGGGCAATTGTCAGCAGGCAAGGTATCAAGTGTACTTGTGAAGTATGTCATTCACATGAAGTGTCACAGTCACAGAAAAGATATTAAAAAGGCATTCCAATATCTGGTAGGGCATTCCATGGTCTGAGTTTAGCTGGTTCATCCAGGTGTCTTCTTGTTGTGGGTGGAGCTACATGTTGAGATTTATCCTCTTGCAACAACTCAGTTCAGCAACAGCAACGGGCAAGCATGTGACTTGCCGCAAGCTGATCCACAGACACTGCAGAGGGGAAGTCTGGCAAGGATAAACTGCTCAACTGTACTCGGGACTCAGTAAGTCACAACACCTGTGAGGATCTGGCTATGTTGTCTTACTCTTGGTAACTGGTTTGCCGCCATTCATTATTGCAGATGCACTTGTGCTTTTACTTGGAGTTACCCCAGCCTTTGGCACTGTTTCTCCAATATCATGCAAAGATGGTTCTCGGTACATGGCAACTGAGGGGAGAAAAGAGAAAAAGAGAGACATCTTTAAGAATGTATCTTATCTCATATAAGAGCTCATCTCAAATAGGATTAATTTTCTACAGTAACTGATACTGTAATATAATCCATGTTCCTCTTGCCGGTGAGGGAAACTATTTACTTTGACAGACACTTGTTTTGCATGACTGATAGCTTTGCTTCACCTTCCAAATTTCTCACTTCTCTATCTGACTTAAAAACACAGTAGGAAACTGCATGCTTGCTTGTGTAATGGAAACTATGGAAGCCTTGGAAATTAAAAATTACTGTTTTGTCTTTGCATGAGGCAGACACACAAAAACATACATATATATACACACATGTATGTGTGTGTGTGTGTATGTATATATACATATATACACACACACATATATATATACACTCCCCTTAAATGAATATTCCGCAAGTTTTTAGAAGTAAAATATGATAAGACAGATGGTATTTAACAAATAGGATCATACAATACAGTTGTCTAGACTTAAGTGTTCTTTTTTAGTCCTACATTGCAAGACCAGGCTTGAGTCCAGCTCTACAAAGCTATCTGCCACATCTAAGGAGCTTGACCGTGATCTCTTCAGGTGTGTACTTAAGAAATGTCCAGGACAGTGCTGCAGAGAGTGCACAAGAGATGTGGGTTTTTTTCTTTCTCCTTTCCAAAAACATATGCCGTAGCCACTGATCTCCACTGAATGTAGAAGTACAGAAAACCCCAGATTAAACTATTAACTGAATTCTTACAGGAATTAAAAATTTGCCCCTGGGCTTCAGTCCCTATCTAACCACTAAATCCTTTGAGGAAAATACATCTATTCAATTACACAGTTCCAGCATTAAGCTGCCTTAATGATTAATGCTCTTGGATAATTCAATTTCATTTTCCATGTCACTGAATCAGGTAATATTTCCACTTATACCTAACTTCAGTAGCATTTATTTATATCAGAGCAATGTTGAAAGAGATGTCAAACCAGTCAAAAGAATTAATAATCACACTGTGATTTCAGGACTGACCGTGTTGCTGCCATAGAGAGCACAATCCCTTCATCACTTGGCTAATTTGAGTAGGAGGCAGGAGCATCAAAGTACTGACCTTAATCTTTAATGGTGTGAAGTTTCATAATAAATAGGAAGAGCCCCATAGCATCATTAACTAATCAAGTACTTGTTCTAACATTTCCAGTGACATAATCTAAATCCTTTTATGGCTTTTCAAAGTCTGAACTTAAACATCTTCTTTAGTGGATGCAAGGCTGGTTATGATCTATGTCTTCAGAGTCCCTCCATAACTGTGTTTAGGAAACTTTGCTGATTAATTAAAAGAGCTTGATGAAATAACACCGTGGCCTACAAAAATATTAAGTTGAATAACACGAGATGGAACTATAAAATAAGGTATTATATAGCACAGCTGTCATATTTGATGACTCTCACGGGCAATGTAAAGCAAGTTATTTTTAAGCCTTGCCTAAACTATTTTGATAGAGTCTGAGCATCCAAACATTAATGAAAAAAGTAACTTCTTTCCTAATCCACATGAACTGACATTGCTTTTAAAAATACACTGGCTTTCCCTCCAGTTTTTATAATTTAATATAAAGGGATTGATACATAAAGCGTCAATATTGTTGAGAGCTCATGAAAATACTGTAAGCTTTTGCAGAACAAGGAAACATGAATGTGGGATTCAAGAGGACTTTCTGTGGGAGAATGGACATGTGAGCAATCCTGTGTGAGAACAAGACTGATAAGAGCCTCAGCCAAGCAAGAATGCGATAAGGATGTGACCCTGAATGAGGGGGGAGAAACTCGACGAGACAAACAACACCCAGAAGGGGTTGAGATGGAAGAGGAAGTTCCACAAGGCGGGAAGCCTGGCAAGGCTGATGTGGCACTTTTCATCCAATCATAAGAAGGTTTAAAGCATGGGCTAAGTTAACTGTCCAGTCTTGAGGTCTTGTACTGCATGTTACTCACATGTGCGGGAGAACATTATAAAAGGGCTTTCTTAGTTGTAATAAACGGGCACTGCTTGATCACATTGGTCTCCCGCACATGAAGGTATCAACTTGAGTTCAGATATGAATCATAGAATGGTTTGGGTTGGAAGGGTCCTTAAATATCATCTAGCTCCAACCCCCCTGCCATGGGGGCAGGGACACCTTCCACTAGACCAGGTTGCTCCAAGCCCCGTCCAACCTGGCCTTGAACACTGCCAGGGAGAAGGAAGCCACAAAGTGAATTTAAAATACTGGATTATTCAGATTGTTTCCTTATAATGGAACTCTAAAATATTTAACAAATTGATCCTTTAATCAAAATTTTAAGTTAAAATGTTAAAAGTAATGAGTCTGGTAACTAAACCATTACTTGGGTATGTGTTTTCAAATGTTAAGTAGTGAGATAATTTCCAGAATGACTGAGGCTATGTGTAGTAATAGTATAAATGAAATTTGGAGTGTCATGAAGACAAGAAGCAAAAAGCAGCATAGGCTTGTAAAGTCCTGCAAAATACATAGGATAACCCAAAAGTTCCAAAATATAAATGAATGTATTTTTCAGAGAATGTGTGACATCATTTTAGCGTGTAAAGTCAGCATGACTTTTATTTGCTTCTATCTTGGTTAAAGGCCAAGTAACACAAGTTACATGCATTGCATCAACTGGCTAAGTAATAGAGTATGATTTATTTTATAAAGAGATTTTTGTGTTTTGTATTAGAAAGCTTTTACTTTGAAATGCTGACATTTCATCCATTCCCTTTGTAACTCCCAATTATCCTGCAGTGTCCATTATTTCATTCTGCTTAATGAAAGGACTGTTTTTTCACTGCAAGACTCACAACAGCTTTTGTCTCTACTGAGAGAATATTTTAAAACCAGCACAAGACACTTCCACAAAAGATTTATTTTTTTGTAAAATGACCTCTTAATCCCTGGAAAAAAGTGTTTTAACATACACCTTTTCTAGCATCACTATGCTGAAGCACAGAACTGCTCCATGAATCCTGGGGACTGTCATTTGGAATGGCCCCTGTGTGGGGCATGCACATTAACAAAAGGTGTTTTAGAAACCGTTTCCTCTTCTTCTTGTGAGATTTATAGGAAGATCTGCCAGCGATGGACTGAGCCTCACCTTCCAATGGCTTGGGTAGAAAATGAGCTGCTGGTTTTGTTTTCTTCACTCTGTTTCCTTTCATGACCTGCCCTTCTTTGTTCAGCCCCAAGAACCAGGCCCTCCCGGACTCCTGTTGTCTGTAGAGCATGGATGAGTAGATTACATAATAATTTTCAAAAACAGACTCCTTGAATTTGCACTCTGGTGTAAAAAGTTCCTGTGGGAGGAAAAGTAAATGTTAAATGATATCTCTAAAGTGCGGCTTCTGTTTTGTTAACTTACAGATAACCTCTTGATAAATTTAATATATGACTTATAATAAGGTTCTGCTTTGAGACCAGGAGATCTGTCTTCCTCTAGATGACTTCCAGGTGAAGTTATAACACCACCCATAGATGCCTCTGTTTTCCCATCTGTGCAACAGGGATAGTATATTTTCAAAGTACAGAGGAAGTGACACAGGCATAAAAACACCATTTAAAATACAGGAATAATTATTAATGTGCTTATTTTTCTGATAGGATATTCTTGTAAAGAATAAGAAAGTCTACGCTAAAATAGCATAAATGAGAAAACAGTTGTTCAGTTTTACCATACTAAATGTAACAAACTCCCTCTATGGTTTGTAACAACTAATATTTGATGCTTAAAAATTGCTGCTGCCAACATATTAAAATTTATATAATTTCCTAGAATAGACGCAGCCTTAAACACCCCAGGAAAACACTATTTTGATGTACAAATTTTTGTACAAAGAAATGTAATTCCTATTGACTTCTTTGGTGTTCATCCCAATACTGGTAATGCTTCCAGAAGTCATACTCAGTAACAGAGCAGTTGTCCTAAACTCTTTACTAAGGTTAACCTAAGCACAAACTTCTGGAACTCAGGAGCAAATTTTTTTTTTTTTTTTTTTTTTTTAATAATACAATCAACAGTAACAAAGTAAACAGTGCAAATGTATATTGAGACAATTTACCAAAATCCTTTGAAAAAAATCCCAGCAAGTTAGCAAGCAAATAAAATCACATTTAAAATACCATGAGAAAATAGGATTCTGAGTGAATGTGATTTTCAGTCTTTGGACCCATCCGCTGAAACCTGTGGAAGAGAGTCCCTTCATAAAAGGAGGAGGTAGATGTGGGTGGCTTGCTAAGCTTTCTGAGCACAAAGTTCTCATCCCTGAATCCTTTTTATTCATATTTCTTTCAGCTATCTTTCCCAAGAAGTAAAAATCTCAAAAAGTCATATATTTTCACTTCTCCATTCACAGTTTGGGTTTTGTTTGGGTTTTTGTCTGTTTTTTTGTGGGTTTTTTTTTCCCCCCTTCCATTTCCTTTTGCTCCTGGCCCCATGCCGTGCTGATTCAGCACTCAGCAGGTAATGTGTTTTCAGGGTCTCTAAGCCATCCCCAGCTGCTTATATACTGTAAGAATTTTACAGCTGTTTCTGTCACAGATTTCCTTTCTGGAAATCAAAGTCCTTAAAGACACTGTTTCCCATACCAGAAAGCACAGATGAAGTGCCTTTATGAATCTGTACTAAATGTCACAACACACAACCAAATTCTCCTAATATTATGGGGTACACAGTATTTGTATTGCCATGGCTTAAGTTACCACATATAAGCAAAGCTGTCTTGATGGACACCAGGCATACTATTTGCTTTTTCTATTATGGAGCAACTTTTAACCTCAAATAACAGGAATTAGTGTATTTTATCCAGCAATAGACTAAAAGCAGGTACTGCAGCAGCTGGGAAATAATTTGTGAACCTGCTCTAGAATAGGTTGCTTTGAGTGAGCAAGTACTCTTAGTGTCTATAGGTCACACTCATTTACAGGATACAAAAAGAATTATCCGATGTGTGCAATGGCCATCTTTCTGCACTACCACTTCTTTATCACTGTACTGGGTCTGGCTGAGCTGGAATTGGTTTTCCCCTGTAGCAGACCTCACGGTGCTGTGTTTTATGCTGGGAGCTGGCAGGGTGTTGGTAGCACCCTGGTGTTGCGGCTACTGCTGAGCAGTGCTTACACAGCACCAAGGCTCTTTCCGACATTCCCCCCGCAGTGGGACGGGGTGGGCAAGATCTTGGGAGGGGACACAGCCAGGACAGCTGACCCGAACTGACCAAAGGGATATCCCAGACCATATGACGTCTGCTCAGGATAAAGCTGGGAGAAAGGAGGAAGGGACTGGGGTCACCCTTGGTCCTCCGAGGCAACCACTACGTGTATCGGAGCCCTGATCCTGAGAAGGCCCCACATCACCTCTTCATGGGAAGGAGAGAATAAATCTGTTTTCCTTTTTTTTTGCTTCCATGCATGGACCTTTGCTTTGCTTTGCTTATATTAAAACTCCTTTTGTTTTACCCAAAAGTGCTGGAGGTTTTTTTAACCTATCTTATTTTCTTTACCCTCTTTGCTCTGTTGATAGAAAAAGCAGAAGGGGGGGAAGTGCTAGAGCAACTTGGTGGGTACCTGGCATTAGCCAAGGTCAAACCACCACAATCACCTATGTGCACAACTGCGTATATATACACATGCAGAAATGCAAATACAGCTTGTACTAGAGGCAACAAAAGCTAATGACAAACAGCACCTTCTCCTTTGCCACCAAGGCTTTTTCTCTCTAAGACTTTAAGACATCTGTTGTTTGTGTTACCCTCCTTTCTCCTCCACTGATTTCAAATCACAGTAGGGCTCAAGGAGACTCAAAATAAAACCAGAAGGCAGGGTGGCATGCTAGAGGGAATGCCTGTTAAAGCCTAGCACAAGCATTTACATGTGAGTCATGTTCCTCCGCTGTTGAAACAGCAGATGCTAATCAGGAAATGCCTACACAGCTCTCCTTATTACCTGCTTCACTGCAAATGCTACCCCCTGTGTTCCCCACTAAGTTTTACTTCCTTGTAAAGCTCAATTACCATAAACACTACTTCTTAGCCAATACTCACTTTTTGCTATAAACAAAAGCTGTTTGTCATTCCATGCTTCTCCGTACCAGAGATGGTTGGCTGCCTGTAAAAGCTATTTGTGTGACTTCACAAACAATATCCATTAGGACACTGAAACAAGGTTCCTTCAAATCGTATCCTACCTCTGAATGAAACCTGGCTCATTTCTCTCTCATCTCTTTGGCATGTACAGTAGTGTTTCTGACAGTGCACAGCATATGAAGTGGGAGGTATTTACCAAGTCAAAAAAAAAAAGGATGATGTCAACAAAATTACCTGGCTACTCCTGGATGCAGACTGATAGACTAGACAAACTGGCATCATTGCTATTTCTCAGTTATGAAAAGCATGGTAATAGACTGCTAATTATTTTTTGGGGCATATGAGTAAGAGCCAAACCTGAATACTGTATTCCGCCCAGAAGTATCTCAGCTATCCTCTAGATGTCTGGGTGGCATAACAGCTTTTGGATACCCAGTATATTAGGATGCAGTTCTGCCTGGGATAAACTCTCAGTCAAAAAGTCACTTAAATACATGTTACATTAGAGCAGGCTAATAGTTCCACCCATGTGGAGAGTATTCATGAATGAAAATTAAGCATCTGATGATGACTATGCTAAGCTGCAACCACCAGTTCCTCTGAAGAATTACTCAGAAAGGCTTCTGAAATGTCTTCCCTGTGGCTGAGGTGGAAACTGAAATATTTCTAAGTTAAAAGCAACATCTGAAGCCTTACCTCAGACACCATCTCAGCTGGCTGAAAAGCTCTGAACCCCTATATTTTCTCCAGTAAAGCTGCCATGACTCCTAAAATATTGTTTCTGCATGTGCCTAGGCCAAATCTAGAGCTGTATACCTAAGGCTCAACCCAGTAGAAACTCTCAGAAAATTGCCAATGTGCTAACAGCACTGACTTTAAGTAAAATCATCCACAGATGACTTTATTCAAGTCCATTGCTGGAGGGAAAGGCAGTACAAGGGCATTTTATAAGAGAAACTCAATGGTGAGGGCACTCCCCTAGGCTGCCTATCTATATCCAACCTGAAGGAAACCGAATCTACATCTGGCTGACATGAATCATTTAGATTTTCCCTACAAGAATTACTTTTTGCGTTTTGATCCAGGACAGTCTTTACATTTTGTATTAGGAAGTGAATGAATAAATTGCAAAACCAGACATGACTTGCAAACAAGAACTTGTGCTCAGGATTTCCCTTCCAAGGTCAGTGCCCAGGTTTAACCTGTAGTCTTATATAAAAGGTGGTTTCCTCTTCTCAAAGCAACATTTGAAAAATTAAGTATATAACATCTTCCAATATCCAAAACCCCAGGAGTGAGTTTTGGCTGTAAACTGCAATCTGATACCGCTTCCTGGGTCCTAGAGAAGTGAAGGATGTATTAAATTGTACCTTGCTGAGAAGAATTTTCACTTGGATATTTTGGCTAGCTTCCCATCAAGCTTTTGCTTGACGTGAGTCATATTTGGAGATGTTTTAATTCTCCTGGTTGCTGTAGCATTAGTAAGTATCACAACACACAGGTTGTGGGTTCAAACTCTTGGAATCAAAAAGTTCTGTCAAGGGGGAGATCTCAGTTTTGGGGTCCCCACCACTGTTGCCAGTACTCAGCTTTGTAGTACTACATCTTAATAATGGAGCCTTAGCTCATGGAGACATGTGGTGGTGTCCGAGTCTACTTTCATTGAAGAACAAAACACAAATGAAATAAAGAAAAAAGAGCCATTATCCACCTCTTAAACTTAGGAGTGCCTGAATGAAGGAGCTCAGGTTACCTGTGTTGTGAACATGGAGGTATAAGGATTGTTAGAAAGCAATTCAGATGACAACTGAGATGAATTCCCTACCAAATAATTTATTTCTGTCAATCAGAAGCTGAAGTCTGACATGAAGAAGCTCGGCACCTCCATGCTAATCAATAATATGGCACAGTAGCAAACGACTATAGTTCAAAATCAAAGTACAGCAAACTTTACCATCTATCCCCTGGAGATGGGCACAATGGCACTCGTTCAACACAGTGGACAGCAAAAGCCCATCTGCAGGCTGAACTAGCTACAGCTACTCCTTGGTGCCAGGCAGAAAACATAACCACAAGACAAACTCTAAGAGATTGTCAGGCGAGGAACAGCCAGTCTAATCAACAACTGTAAAAATAACCTGATACTATTTATTATTTGCACTTAGAAGTCCAGGTCATGTAACAGGACCTCAGCTCTTTGGAAGTACAGAACAAGT